GAAAGCAACTAGAGAATGGTGAAAAGTCAGAGAAGATTGTTTAAATCTCAGTTGAGCCTCTTACTTCCTGTATGATCCTACGCAAGTCACTGAGTATTTCTGAGCCTTATTTTCCTCATCTTTAATATGTTCTTTCAGAAGATTTTTCAAAGGGTTAAATTAAATAAATGGTAAATAGTAACACATTATAAAATATTTCCATTGTTTCATCTACAGTCAAAGGTCACTGTAAGATTTCAAAATATTTTTTATTAAATAAATTCTCTTAAAAAAGAAAGTTATATAGCACTTTAATTAATTCATGAAGATAATGACCCATTTTTGTCCATCTTAATATCCTTAGAAGATTATTATTAGTAATCCCTTAAATTGTACTGATAAAAAATGAAATATATTTTATTAAGTTCTTCATTTCTGAAAATTGGCAATTCGTACACATGGGTATTTTGTGTTTCTCTAATAACCAGAACATTTGTTTAGCCAAATATTTTTTTTCTCTATAGTACCATCTGTTCCTTTTTATTAAATAAAAGCCAGTTCTGATATTTTCCCTAAATTATTGGATATTTAAAATGTTAGTATATGATCATGTTTTTATTTGTGATAGTTATGATTGATAATCACTACATTTACTGAACTCTTGCATTGTGACAGACACAATGCAAAGTATTTTACATGTGTTAACACATCTAATCCTCACAGTATTCCTATGAGGTAGCTAATGTTATCCTCATTTTACTCTTGAGAAAATTAAATCATCAAGTGGGTAACTTTCCCTAAAACTGTCCTTTAAGAGACAGAATGAGAGCTTGAGCCCAGGCATTCCGATTCCAGAACCCAGGTTTATCACATTTAAGCTATACTACATTGCTAACATCACATTATCTCCTGCTCATCTACTTGAGAGTATTCCCGGAATGCAACCTCTGGGCCCTTGATTCCACGGAGATGAACTTGGGGATCTTTGATGCTAATAACAACCATTAAGTGAAGCTCTCCCAGAGCTTTTGGAAGTACTGTCTAAACTGTATTTCAGTTTTTCCAGCATATCCTCAACCATAGTTACATAGAAATCAGGTAGATCACTTTTGTTTTCAAATATTTGATAGAGAGATAAAAGAAAAAACATAGCCCATTTAAGAGAGTGGTTTACATATATTTCCAACCAAGATAAGTTTTCATTTCCCATCAGAATGTAATCACGATGAGTAAAATTGGTTTTTAAGATTATACTACAATTTTATATAGACGTTTGCATGTGAAGGTTATGTTTGCTATATTTTACTATCTTGATCTTGTAAATACTAGTGAATAATTATAAATCCACCTAAATTGTTATTAGGTCATATGGAAATTCATGCATTTGATGAAACATATAATCAGAATTGTGAATTGAATTAATTCAAGAGTCGGGAACTAGAACATTTTATATAATTTGGTTTACTTAGCTAATCCTCATGGTGAAACTGCAGTGTCGGGCCTGGAAACTTAAATCCCACATACCACGACACACACACACATAAACATGTGTATTATTAAAGCAAATTATGTCTTAAACTCTTCAGGTTCCCATTTGGTTTTCTCTCATTGTATTATTGTCTTGAGAAAAATAACTCTTTTTCTCACTTGAAATGAGCTTCGAGTGAAACTACGATTTGTTATCACTACTCATTGAGAAACATTTTTTGCACTTTATTAACATGGGCATAGGTATATGAGCATGTGCACACACTCACACAAACACATTAAATAGCCTCTACATATGAATGGATTGAACTTAGGAAGCATATTTGGTATAAGAGTGTTTTTCAGCATCAATGACAACTTTCCATAGGAGTAGTGTTATGTTACTGTTCTACTAAAAATATTTATCTCATATTTCATACCATTTTTAATATTGTTTTTATGGAATCATCCTTTCCCTGTTTCCTTTCCAGATACCAGAAATATAATCCTCTGTATCACTAATCCTAGGAGACCCTCCACCACCATACCCATAAAAATCATAGTGTTTTCATTGGTATACATGCTATCAACCAAGACAGTTATCAAAACCAATGATATCCCTGGTTTAGAATAATCACATAGATGTTAAGTCATGTTTGTTTATATCTTTTTTCTTGTTGTCGGTGAAAAAATTAAAAAAAAAAACAATAACAACAACAACAAAAAGTCATGTTTATATTTTCAAAATGATAAATAAATACCATGATTTTGTCCTGGATTTTCAAATCAAGAACGTCCAATAGAGTTTCTTTTTTAATGTTATAGAAATTAGTAGAGTGTGCATTATGGTGCAAAACTGTAAACTTTACTGAAAACAGAAAGTACTAACCACAAAGTACATACTGTTAACGATGCCCACCCAAGTTGTGTTTGATGAATTTGTTATGTTTTCTGGTTGTCAGCATCACCACATCACCAGTAACTGGAAAGTACAGTTTGTATTAACCTCTTTTTTTAAGAAGTGAAAATTATTAGAATTAGAAATCCCTCTCAATTCAGTCATTAACATCGAATGAAAGCAGCAATTCCACTCTCAAAAACTGATACTTGAAATTTTGGTGAAAGATATACTCTTTCTTTCTAAAGGGTGACAATAATTTTTTTATAAATTTGTTTACTTTGCAAGTAATTACTCTTTAGTCAATAGGTCTCTATGTTAGTCAGCTTGGGCTGCTATAACAAAATACCATAGACTGTGTGGCTTAAACAACAGAAGTTGCTTGCTCACAGATCTGGAGGCTGGGAAGTCCAAGATCAAATTGCTGGCAAATTTGTTTCCTTTTGAAGGCCTTTGTCCTGGCTTGAAGATGGCCCTTTTCTCCCTGTGTCCATCCATGACAGAGAGAGAAAGAGATGTAATCTTCCTCCCTTGTCTTTTCTTCCTCTTCTTATAAAAACACTAATCTCATCATGGGGGTTTTACCCTCATAACCTTTAAACCTACTCTCCCTCCAAAGGCCCTCCCTGCAAATCACAATGGGGTTTGGGGCTGCAAAATATGAATTTTGGGGGAATACGTTCAGTCTGCAGCAGGCTCTAATTGGAGAATGTGCATGAGTTTCATCCACATGGTATTTTTAAATTTTTTTAATTGAAATGCCTTGGAAAAGACAAGCACTCTCTAACATACCATAGTTCCTGCCACTTTCTACCATCTAACTCCTTGCCAGATAATCTTAATGGTGTTGTCTATTAAGCCTCTGTAGGTACTTGAATTTGTGACTCTTGATTTAGTCCATTTAACTTGCATACATTTATCAAGATTTTGGTATTAAAATGCACTTTTGATTCTCTCTTACAGGATGGAGAACCTAATAAGGGGAAGGAATCCCCCCCAATATCAGAGAAGTCCTTGTAAAGAAGTTCGTGCAGCACTTCGTAAGAGACCTGAAGAGGAGTGTAAGTATGTTTAATAGGATTAACTGTGTTCTAGATAGATTTTGGTGAGTAGCATAGTGAAATGAAAGGGTTAAATTTTAAATGTGTATTCAAATACTAGAATATTTGTTGAATTGAGTTGATTTTTAAAAACAAATTGCCATATGTTACTTGAATGTAAGTGCTTAGAACATTGTTTTCTTAAGAGTATTCATCTGGTACTTCAAGATACTTTACTGATAATTGAGTTTCATATTCAAGGGGATGGAAAAGTCTGCACCATAAACTAAATCATGCTTAGATATTTATACTTTATATATTAATGGTTTTGAGAAGTCCTGAAGTAAAGAAACTTTTGAAATATATTTAAAGTCAACATTTTCCAGTTTCCATTTAACCACAGTGCTTTTTAAATTTTTTTTTTAAACTAAGAACTCTTTGAAAACCATTGCATTAGATGAAAGAATATCTATCTGGGGGTAAATATAAACCTGTTTTTCAAATTGAAACATTTGATTTAATTGAATTTAGGAAAAAAGTTTTGAAAGATAGATACCATGCATCCTACCATAAAGTCATTTTAGTCCATCCTCAATTTATTAAATATTATAATATGTAATTGTATGCAGAGATTTTATTTAAATACTTATTGTCTATAATATATAGTAGATTGTTAGAGATTTTTTACATAATATTCACATTTTAAGTTTATAAGATGACCTGTAATATTAAATTTCCTCATGGTATTTGCATATAATCGTTTTCAGGGAAATAAATTACATTCCATTATGACAAAAATGTATCTGAATTTTGTCCTTTTACAGGAACTTACATTTTACAAAGACCAAGCTAATGTAGTGGGTTCACTGAGGTATACTGTTTAGTACACTTTTAAAATTATGTTGGCATCTTAAATTAGTTTGAAGTATCCTGCTCTCAGTAAAGATCAAAAATATAAAAGCAGAGCATGCTCATGGCAAGTTGAGTGTTTTTGTTTTGTTTTGTTTTATTATAAAGTCAATAGATAACCTCATTGGGCTGACATATATGTTGTTCAGTATAATGTTAATCTTCTTTTAATAGGTAGATTTCTAGCTTCTAACACTACAAACAATGTTTAATTAAAACTAAAATTTGAAAATGAAGTTAGAATTCATGGGCATTTAAAACAAAAATCATTTATAAGATGGGACTCTTTCATAAAAGTATTGCTTCTTTTTATTGGGTTCATAGGAAAACTTTGGGCTTTATCCTCTATTCTGATTTAACAGAATCAGCTTAGTCTCTGGTATAGTTCTACAGATGAAAAAAAAACTTAGAAGGGATATTTGCAGATACATCTACAGATAATTCTCAGAGAGCTGCTATTTAACATAAAAAAAATGACTTTTGAGGACTCTTGTACAGAGTTGATCTAGGCCAAAGGTTGGCCAACCATGGTTTATTTATGAAATCTAGCCTGATAACTGTTTCTGTTAATAAAATTTTATTGAAACACAGCCATTACTCATTTATTTAGATATTATATACAACTGCTTTTGCACTGCCAAAGAATTGAATAGTAGTGACAGACACCATATGGCCCACCAAACCAAAAATATTTACATGATTCTTTATGGAAAAAGGGTTTTGAACCCTTGTCTGGGCCAGTGGTTCTCAAAGTGTCATCTTGAGACCAACAGCAGCACCTGGGAACTTGTTAGAAATGCAAATTCTAGGGCTGCAACCTATACCTTTTGAATCAGAAACTCTTAAATCAGGTCCCAGTAATCTGGATTTTAAGAAGCCCTGCAGGAGATTCTGATGCAAGCTCAAGTTTGGAAACTACTAGCCTATGTCAAATGATTGGTGTCAGATGATATTAACTTAGCTATACAAAAGACTACTAATGATTGATTGGTATATTTCATAGTGAAGTTTTATCATTCTCTAACGTGAGGTACATGCATTAAGGTATGTAATATAACTGTTGCCTGTGTTAAAAGTTCTCAATTGGACTGTGGCAGTCAGGGCAATCTTTCACATATCACCACAGAAACTCAGCTGGACTATGTTACTCAACATGGAAAGTCGTACTGCAAAATGAGAAATCTGTAAAATTATATTATCTTCCAGAGAGGTTTTCATTGTTTTTTGTTAGTATAATGATAAGTTCTTCTTGTCCTGTTACAACCAGTATTAATTCCCTGAGAACAAAGCCACCATCTTTTCTATAATGGAAGCAAAATATCGTAGTAGTTAAAACTATTTACATTAGGGACACACAAAGGGTTTATTCTCTAATATGACAATGTAACAAGCTGCAGGATCCAGAATATTATTTTTTTAAATCCAAGATTCAGTAATACTCAGTTGATTTATCTGAAAAATATGGGGATAATGATAGAGCCTACCTTACAGGATTGTTTTAAGGATTAAAGGAGATATCTATATTAAGTACTTGGTACAGAACCTGGGATGTAGCAAGTTTTCTCTCTCTCTCTCTCTTTTTTGCTCACTTGCTCTCTTCTTATTGTACTTCTTATTTCAACCTAAACATTTGTTTGAGGGTATTAACACATTTTTTTTTTTTTTTGAGACA